AGCAAAGGCACGATGCGGTCAAACAACCGCAGAAACATGAAGATAATGTAAAACGTCATAGCATATACTAAAGATTTAACATTCTATACCTAACACCCACACAGTGATTTGCATAGATTTGTTAACTTTGGTTAACTTTAAAATACAATTGTTAAGTGTATCATGTTTCTTTGCTGTTTCTTGTTGTCACACCGAGTCAATATAGGAACAGATTTCGGGTTAACCTTTTGTTTCAGTTTGGGAATCGACAAGTAAATTTCGGGTTAACTTATTATTATTACAATAAGTTAACCCTTAATTTACTTGTTAATTCTCAAGCTAAAACAATAAGGTAACCCTTAATTTACTTGTTGATTCCAAAGCTTAAATAATAAGTTAACCCTTATTTACTTGTTGATTCCCAAGCTAAAACAATAAGCTAACCCTTAAGTTACTTGTTGATTCCCAAGCTAAAATAATAAGTTAACCCTTAATTTACTTGTTGATTCCCAAGCTAAAACAATAAGTTAACCCTTAAGTTACTCTTTGATTCCCAAGCTAAAATAATAAGTTAACCCTTAATTGACTTGTTGATTCCCAAGCTAAAACAATAAGTTAACCCTTAAGTTACTTGTTGTATCCCAAGCTAAAATAATAAGTTAACCCTTAATTTACTTGTTGATTCCCAAGCTAAAATTATAAGTTAACCCGACATTTATATTTCTTCAAGACAATCTAATGATATACGAGACCAGGAGTCTACCTTTGATATGATTGGATTTGGAAAAACAAAACAAATATATGCATTTGCTAAACAAGAGAGATATATTATCATGTTTCAAAGATCACGTGATTATAACATTCAATACATACACAAAGGAAACATTATTCTATCTTTCCAAATATATAAGCTTTAGTAACTTCACCCGTGTTGGTGAGGGTTAGAATTGATCTTCAGTAACCCATGCGTGTCGTAAGAGGCGACTAACGGGATTGGGTGTCAGGCTCGCTGACTTGGTTGACACATGTCAATTGTGCAGATCGTTGCTCATAGGTTTATCAATTTAAGAACCCATATCCACTCATAATACTTGTAATTATGGCATTAGCAACTACATCCAACATCAGAAACTATATCTATCCAATAGGGGACATTCCTGGAGTTGCGCCCCCCTTGCCCGCTTGGGGCACTGCGGTAGTTACGGTCCAACAATCACGGGTTTGAACACTCAAGGGAGTATATCGGACTCGCTCGAACTTCAGTAAAACATTATACTTAGCGGTGTAAACACTTCTCTGAACAGTTTCGAAATACCGGAAGTACTCGTAGGACCGTAGTGCTTGGTGCCACCTCTTGGCGAAGTGGTAAAGGGGGATAACTGAGGAATGTTCCCCATTACCAGAAAATACATCTAGATGAGAAATTCATTTGTTTCATACAAAGATAAATTCGAGCAAACAACGTTTACAATGATAGCATAAGTAAATATTTACAAATATAAAATAACTACATACAAACTACCCTAACATTGCATTACATATAATGTTACCATTCCAATATCTGAAACAAAAATAATCCCAATACCAGAAACTAAATGATGACGAGAAAGTACATTTTTCATACAAAGATACATTTGAAACATACAATGTATACAATGATAACATAAGTAAATACTTACAAATATGAAATCGCCATGCACAAACTACCGTACTTTGCATTGCACATATTGTTTTCGTCCACCTTGTGTATCAGCAACAATGTTTAATTTAAATACGAGCTGCTGGGTGTCCATCCTGGTTGTCACTGATGGAAACACCACCATATACTGGACAAAATAAGTTAGGGATATTGGTATTTTTATGATTGATATTTTATCAGTGTGTCAATGAATAAATGGGTCATTATTCATAATTTCAAAATTTACATATATCCCCAACTATTTTTGTCCAGTATATTTCTGCTGGTTGGAGACTGTACTCCATTATTAGGATTTTCAGCAGAATCAAAGGGGCGACAGGGTAGCTTGCTGTTGGATTCATTAAGCATTGGCTCTACTTGAAATTGACGATATGTAATTTTGTGCATTCCTTTCGCAGAATTTAAATCCCAGTCATTAGGATAATAATTCTCTCGAATATTCTTAAGTATTTACAAGGATAACGAATGTAGATAACTCCCACATAGGTGTAAATACCATCACACCTGTATAATCTTAAGTATGGACATGCATAATGAGTAGCAAGCTGTCATATACGTATAAATATCATCCTACCTGTATAACCTTAATTTTATCATGGCTACGTAAAATACTCGAATTTGATTGGACAATTAATAAAATTAAACGCTATCAGTTGGACTGAAAATGTGTCTGATTTCATGACAGCTTCACTGAGCACGCATACAACACTGCCGCACTACTTCAGCTTGACCACCAACGCGGCTAATATCAACACAGTAGACGTGATGGAAATGCTTATAAAACATGCATTAAAACTCGAAGAATACAAATATATGATTTTACCTCCACAATTATTAGGGAACCTTACTGTCATATTACCTTCTATTATAAAAATATTCAAACCCAATTACAATGCATAGCCCTAAACATAAACAAACAATATCTAACTTATAAATCAGAAAGCCTTGTAGTGAGTGAGTGAGTTAAAATTTAACGTCATATCGGCAATATTTCAGCCATATCGTGACGAGAACATTTGATATTGAAAGGAAATATATGTATATTATAAAAACCTGCCGACGATGGACAGTAAAACAACTAGAATATCACAATTAGAATTAAAACTAGCGTGGAAAGTTTAAAACTAATAGCACTATTGGGACAAACAATATAAAAACAGGCTAGAGATCGTCAACAACAGAAGGTAGATCACCATACTAGGGACCATGGGGACTTACAGTACCTTTGCTACCTTCATGGACCCTAGCTGGATTTAAACCATCCCTTCAGCTGCTGGCGATTATAAGAAAGCCTTGTAAGAATACACCCCTATTTATACACAATTTGCAGTGAAACGTTAGTAAACTTTTGCCTACCTGGTAAATGGTATGCTTGTTTCCTTTTAGAATGGGAAATTCGCAAGATAACGGTCAGGCGAAACACCAAATGTTTTGCCACTCATACTCCATCATGTCCCGTTTCATCGTTAAAATGTATATGTCAAAAAATCAAAAATTGAACCACCAGAATTCTGCTTTCTTCCAGCTTTCCCGCAGTCACTACTGGTGATCCATGTTCGTATACTTTGAAAATAGCTTAGCCACAATCCAGTCCCAAATGATGAACACAATTTCCAAGGAATCCCAAGTGAGTCGCATGTACACAAATCATTGCGTTAGGCCAGCACTGTCACTCTTTTGTCGCATGCCGGGGTAGAGGCACGTACGTGAAATCATGATGGAAACTCGCCGGTCATAAAAATCAACAGTCTTTGATGAGTTACAACAAAGTTCAGTTCGCCTCTCGTCCCATGCCGGGTTTCGCTACGCGTTCGGCTTAAAATGAAATTTAGCGACTATCAATTCCTTTTAAAATTCATCTAATTTCCAAACACAGAACGTTTTTCTCCTAAATATATACAGTGATAATGAATGTAGAAAGTTTTCACATGGGTACAAATATCATCCTACCAGTATAACCTAAAGTATGTACATGGGTAGTGAGAAAAAAGATGTCACATAGGTATAAATATCATCCTACCTGTATAATCATAAGTATTGACAAGGATAATGAGTAGTCAGATGTCACATAGGTATAAATATCATCCTACCTGTATAATCATAAGTATTGACAAGGATAATGTGTAGTAAGATGTCACATAGGTATAAATATCATCCTACCTGTATAATCATAAGTATTGACAAGGATAATGAGTAGTCAGCTGTCACATAGGTATAAATGTCATCCTAAATGTATAATCTTAAGTTTTTATGAGGATTATGAATGTAAATAGCTGTCACATCCTACCTGTATAATATTAAGTATGTACATGGAGTGAAGTTATCTGTCACACATTTTAAAATAACTTCCAGTTTGTCAGAAATAAAACATCAATACGCCCACAGTATTTTTCACTGTTCATATTATCTAGTCACGTGCCTGACATTGTTTATGGTTTACACACACACACACACACACACACACACACACACACACACACACACACACACACACACACACACACACACACACACACACACACACACACACACACACACACACACACACACGCACACACACACACACACACGCACATTTCTTTTGGGAAATACATCAAAAGATTTAGTCATAAATCTGATAAATGATTACTAATGAGTGAGTAAGTTAAGTTTCACGCCACTTTTAGCAATATTCCAGCAATATCACGAAGGGGGGACACCAAAAATGGGCTTCACACATTGTACCCATGTGGGGAATCGAACCCTGGTCTTCGGCGTGACGAGCGAACGCTTAAACCACAAGGTTACCCCACCGCTACGTTTAGTAATGACATATTCAGGGACAAAACCCATACTTAAAAACACAAATTCTGAAAGGGGAGTGGTGTGACAATGGCGTGTCACGCGCGACTGAAGCTGACGGCGCTTTGAAGATACCAGATCATTGAAAACAGCCAAAGGGAAATTGTTATAATGTCAGGAAAATATTGCGTCAACTGAGTTAGCCTTAAAGGTTGGTTCAGCCTCTATCGTCGATCCATCTCATCCCACACATATCCTATGGCTAAACAGCCACAGGAGGGGCGGGGCAGTACTGTTGCGTTGCCTCAAAAGGTGTGTAACAATACAGGCATGATTATACTTCTGCATACGTCATACAGTTATATGGTTTTCTTCTTGACGTGATGTTATATATGGACAAGTCATTAGTGTTTCTCGCCTGCAGATAACTTTTCCAAAGGATGATATTGTGTTTTGATAAACATAAAATGTCTTCGCAGCATACCCTGGGTGTTGGTTGTCAGCAAGCCGAGGCATTGTCTTAGCGTTATTTACGGTCAAACGATAAGGGTCCGGTTACAAACTGCCTCACAGATATGATGTCTGTTGCTAATTGCCACTTAAATAAAGGGCTGGTTACAAACTGACACTCAAATAAAAGGCTGGTTGCAAACTGCCTCTCAGATAAGGGTCCGGTTGCAAACTGCCCTTCAGATAAGGTGATGGTTGCAAACTGCCTCTCAGATAAGTGTCCGGATGCAAACTGCCACACAGATATGATGCCTGTTGCAAACTGCCACTCAAATAAAGGGCTTGTTGCAAATTGCCACTCAGATAAGGGTCCGGTTGCAACCTGCCACTCAGATAAGGTACTGGTTGCAAACTGCCACTCAGATAAGAGTCCGGATGCAAACTGCCTCTCAGGTAAGGTGCTGGTTGCAAACTGCCACTTAGATAAGGTGATTGTTACAAACTGCCACTCAGATTAGGGTCCGGTTGCAAACTGCCACTAAGATAAGGTGCTGGTTGCAAACTGTCACTAAGATAAGGGTCCGGATGCAAACTGCCACTCAGATAAGGGTCGGGTTACAAACTGCCGCTCAGATAAAAAGCTGCCTGCAAAACTGCCACTCAGATAAGGGTCCGGCTGCAAACTGCCGCTAAGATAATGTGCTGGTTGCAACATGCCACTCAGATAAGGGTTTGGATGCAAACTGCCGCACAGATATAATGCCTGTTGCAAATTGCCACTCAAATAAAGGGCTGGCTGCAAATTGCCGCTCAGATAAGGGTCCAGTTGCAAACTGCCACTCAGATAAGGTACTGGTTGCAAACTGCCACTCAGACAAGGGTCCGGATGCAAACTGCCACATGATATGATGCCTGTTGCAAATTGCCACTCAAATAAAGGGCTGGTTGCAAACTGCCACTAAGAAAAGGGTCCGGATGCCAACTGCCACTAAGATAAGGTTCCGGATGCAAACTGCCACTCAGATAAGGGTCTGGATGCAAACTGCCACTCAGATAAGGGTCCGGATGCAAACTGCCACTCAGATAAGGGTCCGGTTGCAAACTGCCACTAAGATAAGGTGCTGGTTGCAAACTGCCACTCAGATAAGGGTCCGGATGCCAACTGCCACTCAGATAAGGTGCTGGTTGCAAACTGCCACTAAGATAAGGGTCCGGATGCAAACTGCAACTCAGATAAGGGTCGAGTTACAAACTGCCACTCAGATAAAAAGCTGCTTGCAAAATTCCACTCAGATAAGGGGCCTGTTATGAAGCTGCCTCTCAGATAAGGGTTGGGTTACAAACTGCGGCTCAGATAAACGGCTGCTTGCAAACTTCCACTCAGATAAGGGTCCACTTGCAAACTGCCACTCAGATAAGGTGCTGGTCGCAAAATGCCGCTCAGATAAGGGTCCAGTTGCAAAGTGCCACTTAGATAAGGGGCTGGGTGCAAACTGCCACTGATAAAAGGATCCGGTTGGAAACTGCCACTCAGATAAGGGTCCGGATGCAAACTGCCCTTCAGATAAGGTGATGGTTGCAAACTGCCTCTCAGATAAGGGTCCGGATGCAAACTGCCACACAGATATGATGCCTGTTGCAAACTGCCACTCAAATAAAGGGCTTGTTGCAAATTGCCACTCAGATAAGGGTCCGGTTGCAACCTGCCACTCAGATAAGGTACTGGTTGCAAACTGCCACTCAGATAAGAGTCCGGATGCAAACTGCCTCTCAGGTAAGGTGCTGGTTGCAAACTGCCACTTAGATAAGGTGATTGTTACAAACTGCCACTCAGATTAGGGTCCGGTTGCAAACTGCCACTAAGATAAGGTGCTGGTTGCAAACTGTCACTAAGATAAGGGTCCGGATGCAAACTGCCACTCAGATAAGGGTCGGGTTACAAACTGCCGCTCAGATAAAAAGCTGCTTGCAAAACTGCCACTCAGATAAGGGTCCGGCTGCAAACTGCCGCTAAGATAATGTGCTGGTTGCAACATGCCACTCAGATAAGGGTTTGGATGCAAACTGCCACACAGATATAATGCCTGTTGCAAATTGCCACTCAAATAAAGGGCTGGCTGCAAATTGCCGCTCAGATAAGGGTCCAGTTGCAAACTGCCACTCAGATAAGGTACTGGTTGCAAACTGCCACTCAGACAAGGGTCCGGATGCAAACTGCCACATGATATGATGCCTGTTGCAAATTGCCACTCAAATAAAGGGCTGGTTGCAAACTGCCACTAAGAAAAGGGTCCGGATGCCAACTGCCACTAAGATAAGGTTCCGGATGCAAACTGCCACTCAGATAAGGGTCTGGATGCAAACTGCCACTCAGATAAGGGTCCGGATGCAAACTGCCACTCAGATAAGGGTCCGGTTGCAAACTGCCACTAAGATAAGGTGCTGGTTGCAAACTGCCACTCAGATAAGGGTCCGGATGCCAACTACCACTCAGATAAGGTGCTGGTTGCAAACTGCCACTCAGATAAGGGTCCGGATGCCAACTACCACTCAGATAAGGGTCGAGTTACAAACTGCCACTCAGATAAAAAGCTGCTTGCAAAATTCCACTCAGATAAGGGGCCTGTTATGAAGCTGCCTCTCAGATAAGGGTTGGGTTACAAACTGCGGCTCAGATAAACGGCTGCTTGCAAACTTCCACTCAGATAAGGGTCCACTTGCAAACTGCCACTCAGATAAGGTGCTGGTCGCAAAATGCCGCTCAGATAAGGGTCCAGTTGCAAAGTGCCACTTAGATAAGGGGCTGGGTGCAAACTGCCACTGATAAAAGGATCCGGTTGGAAACTGCCACTCAGATAAGGGTCCGGATGCAAACTGCCCTTCAGATAAGGGTCCAGTTGCAATCTGCTACTAAGATAAGGGTCCGGTTGCAAACTGCCACTCACATAAGGGTCCGGTTGCAAACTGCCACTCAGATAAGGGCCCGGTTGCAAACTGCCGCTCATAAGGTGAGGGTTGGAAACTGCCCCTCAGATAAAGTGCCCGGTTGCAAACTGCCACTGAGATAAGGGTCTGGTTGCAAACTGCCTCTCAGATCAGGGTCCGGTTACAAACTGTCACTCATAAGGTGAGGGTTGGAAACTGCCACTAAGATAGGGTCCGGTTACAACCTGCCACTCAGATAAGGTGCTGGGTGCAAATTGCCACTCAGATAAGGGTCTGGTTGCAAACTGCCACTCATAAGGTGCTGGTTACAAACTGCCACTCAGATGAGGGTCCGGTTGCAAACTGCCTCTCAGATAAGTACCCGGTTGCAAACTGCCACTCTTAAGGTGAGGGTTGGAAAGTGCCACTAAGAGAAGGTGCTGGTTGCAACATGCCACTCAGATAATTTGCCGATTGCAAACTGCCTCTCAGATAAGGGTCCGGTTGCAAACTGCCACTCATAAGGTGAGGGTTACAAACTGCCACTCAGATGAGGGTCTGGTTGCAAACTGCCTCTCAGATGAGGGTCCGGTTGCAAACTGCCACTCAGATAAGTGCCCGTTTGCAAACTGCCACTCCTAAGGTGAGGGTTGGAAACTGCCACTAAGATAAGGTGCTGGTTGCAACATGCCACTCAGATAAGTTGCCGGTTGCAAACTGCCACTCAGATAAGGGTCCAGTTGCAAACTGCCACTCAGATAAGGGTCCGGTTGCAAACTGCCACTCAGATAGGGTCCGGTTGCAAACTGCCACTCAGATAAGGTGCCGATTGCAAACTGCCTCTCAGATGAGGGTCCGGTTGCAAACTGCCTCTCATAAGGTGAGGGCTACAAACTGCCACTCAGATGAGGGTCTGATTGCAAACTGCCTCTCAGATGAGGGTCCGGTTGCAAACTGCCACTCAGATAAGTGCCCGGTTGCAAACTGCCACTCCTAAGGTGAGGGTTGGAAACTGCCACTAAGATAAGTTGCCGGTTTGAAACTGCCTCTCAGATAGGGTCCGGTTGCAAACTGCCACTCAGATAGGGTCCGGTGCAAACTGCCACTCAGATAGGGTCCGGTTGCAAACTGCCTCTCAGATGAGGGTCCGGTTACAAACTGCCACTCAGATAAGGGTCCGGTTGCAAACTGCTACTCAGATAAGGTGCTGGTTGCAAACTGCCGCTCAGATGAGGTGCTGGTTGCAAACTGCCTCTCAGATAAGGTGCTGGTTCTAAACTGCCACTCAGATAAGGGTCTGGTTGCAAACTGCCTCTCAGTTGAGGGTCTGGTTGCAAACTGCCTCTCAGATGAGGGTCCGGTTGCAAACTGCCACTCAGATAAGTGCCCGGTTATAAACTGCCGCTCCTAAGGTGAGGGTTGGAAACTGCCACTAAGATAAGGTGCTGGTTGGAACATGCCACTCAGATAAGTTGCCGGTTGCAAACTGCCACTCAGATAAGGGTCCAGTTGCAAACTGCCACTCAGATAAGGGTCCGGTTGCAAACTGCCGCTCAGATAGGGTCCGGTTGCAAACTGCCACTCAGATAAGTGCCCGGTTGGACTCTGCCACTAAGATAAGATGCTAATTGTAACATGCCACTCAGATAAGTTGCCGGTTGCAAACTGCCACTCAGATAAGGGTCCGGTTGCAAATTGCCACTCAGATAAGGTCCGGTTGCAAACTGCCACTCAGATAAGGGTCCGGTTGCAAACTGCCACTCAGATAAGGGTCCGCTTGCAAACTGCCGCTCAGATAAGTGCTCGGTTGGAAACTGCCACCAAGATAAGATGCTAATTGCAACATGCCACTCAAATACGTTGCCGGTTGCAAACTGCCACTCAGATAAGGGTCCGGTTGGAAACCGCCACTCAGATAAGGGTTCGGTTGCAAACCGCCACCAGATAGGGTCCGGTTGCACACCTGCCGCTCAGATAAGGGTCCGGTTGCAAACTGCCACCAGATAAGTTTCCGGTTGCAAACTGCCTCTCAGATAGGGTCCGGTTGCAAACTGCCACTCAGATAAGGTGCTGGTTGCAAACTGCCACTCAGATAAGGGTCTGGTTGCAAACTGCCACTCAGATAGGGTCTGGTTGCAAACTGCCTCTCAGATGAGGGTCCGGTTACAAACTGCCACTCAGATAAGGTGCTGGGCACAAACTGCCACTCAGATAAGGGTCCAGTTGCAAACTGCCACTCCTAAGGTGAGGGTTGGAAACTGCCACTAAGATGAGGTGCTGGTTGCAACATGCCACTCAGATAAGTTGCCGATTGCAAACTGCCTCTCAGATAAGGGTCCGGTTGCAATCTGCCACTCAGATAAGGGTCCGGTTGCAAACTGCCACTCAGATAGGGTCCGGTTGCAAACTGCCACTCAGATAAGTGCCCGGTTGGACACTGCCACTAAGATAAGATGCTAATTGTAACATGCCACTCAGATAAGTTGCCGGTTGCAAACTGCCACTCAGATAAGGGTCCGGTTGCAAATTGCCACTCAGATAAGGTCCGGTTGCAAATTGCCACTCAGATAAGGGTCCGGTTGCAAACTGCCACTCAGATAAGGGTCCGCTTGCAAACTGCCACTCAGATAAGTGCCCGGTTGGAAACTGCCACTAAGATAAGATGCTAATTGCAACATGCCACTCAGATACGTTGCCGGTTGCAAACTGCCACTCAGATAAGGGTCCGGTTGGAAACTGCCACTCAGATAAGGGTTCGGTTGCAAACTGCCACTCAGATAGGGTCCGGTTGCACACTGCCGCTCAGATAAGGGTCCGGTTGCAAACTGCCACTCAGATAAGTTTCCGGTTGCAAACTGCCTCTCAGATAGGGTCCGGTTGCAAACTGCCACTCAGATAAGGTGCTGGTTGCAAACTGCCACTCAGATAAGGGTCTGGTTGCAAACTGCCACTCAGATAGGGTCTGGTTGCAAACTGCCTCTCAGATGAGGGTCCGGTTACAAACTGCAACTCAGATAAGGTGCTGGGTACAAACTGCCTCTCAGATAAGGGTCCAGTTGCAAACTGCCACTCCTAAGGTGAGGGTTGGAAACTGCCACTAAGATGAGGTGCTGGTTGCAACATGCCACTCAGATAAGTTGCCGATTGCAAACTGCCTCACAGATGAGGGTCCGGTTGCAAACTGCCACTCATAAGGTGAGGGTTACAAACTGCCACTCAGATGAGGGTCTGGTTGCAAACTTCCTCTCAGATGAGGGTCCGGTTGCAAACTGCCACTCAGATGAGGGTCCGGTTGCAAACTGCCTCTCGGATAAGTGCCCGGTTGGAAACTGCCACTAAGATGAGATGCTAATTGCAACATGCCACTCAGATAAGTTGCCGGTTGCAAACTGCCACTCAGATAAGGGTCCGGTTGCAAACTGCCACTCAGATAAGGTCCGGTTGCAAACTGCCACTCAGATAAGGTGCTGGTTGCAAACTGCCAGTCAGATAAGGGTTCGGTTGCAAACTGCCACTGAGATAGGGTCCGGTTGCACACTGCCACTCAGATAAGGTGCTGGTTGCAAACTGCCACTCAGATGAGGTGCTGGTTGTAAACTGCCACTCAGATAAGGGTCTGGTTGCAAACTGCCTCTCAGATGAGGGTCCGGTTACAAACTGCCACTCAGATAAGGTGCTGGGTACAAACTGCCCCTCAGATAAGGGTCCGGTTGCAAACTGCCACTCAGATAAAAGGGGTCGGTTGCAAACTGCCACTCAGATAAAAGGGGTCGGTTACAACAGGCACTAGCGATGGTCCAGACTCGTCTGCACTAATGACATTTGAGTCCCTCTGTCATCTTACATCTTGATGTACATCATTAGCGTCAGAGGCGTCACTGGTGTAGGAAACGTCAGCTTCGACGTTGGGATAGTCGACGTCGGGCTACTGTCATGTTTTCTGGCAAACCGAGGTTCCATTTCGCCTTCCGTATGCGAAGTAATCAGGTTTGGACACGTCCTATATATAGATCGTTTTAGGCGGTTGGCCATTAATGGTTCGGGGTGGTATCTCATAGACTTGCCGAACTGTGGTCCATACTGCCCATGGCAGCGTCACAGATGAATACCATGAGAACATTGTGGTGCCATTTGCACAGGGTGTTGGATAACGTTACAACTTTCAGGACCACAATGCCAGGATTATGACACCATCCAAACATCATATCTGTACTGACCAGCATTCAGTCATGACCTTTTCCCCAATGAACACGTCTTGGAGGTCATGGCAGACGTGTGCGTCAACGTTAAAATCCACCTACCACTTTCAATAAACTCGGTAGTGCTTTCACCAATGAGTGGAAAAACATGAGTAAGTGTGCCACTGGTGGACTAATCCGAAGCATGCCTTCAACAATTTGCGATTGTCTGGCTAACGAAAGTGTTTTCAGTGACAATGACTTAAAAATGCAAATTCCTAATTAGACCAGCGACCTCTTTAACGGCCTGATTTCAATTTGCCAATACAATGGGAATCAGAAGATAGGTCTTCATGATTCCCAATATCACATACTTGGCCATATACTCATGGAAACGAATACGGGAACACATGAAAGTACAAGTGTTCCTTTATTCTTTTCCAGATTTCTTCACAAGGTCAGTATTGCACTGTGGGTGCAATTCTGGAAATAAATAAAGGAACACTTGTACTTTCATGTGTTCCCTTATTCGTTTCCATGAGTATATTATATCTTGAAACATGCATCATTCAATTTCAGAATAACTCACACACACGTGTACCCTCCCACCCCACTCCTCCCCCCCCACACAAACGTGTACACTCATACTCGCACACGCACGTGCACATACATAATCACTCGTGTTAGCATTAATTGCCATAGGACATTCTTGCAAATGACATATAATTTCATACATGTAAATACAACCAGATTACAAAGACATAATTCTCTATTAGATAAGATCAATTAACATGTGTTACAATCAAGAGAAACGTTATTTCAACATATCCACACATTTGTGAACTATTTGAAGTATATTGGACAAAATAAATTAGGGATATTTGTATTTTTATGATTGATATTTTGTCAGTGTGTCAATGAATAAATAGATCATTATTCATAATCTCAAAATTTACATATATCCCTAAATATTTTGTCCAGTATACATACAATATATACAATTCACCTAACATTGTAATGGCGTCAGTTATAAAATATAAATTGTAAACATCCTGTACAAGAAAACGATCAATTAATATAATGTCATGTTCACTTCTTACAAACATTGTAAAAGTACGCCTACGCGTTGAAATATAACTTTTGTCAGCATTTACATACTTTAATCTTTGAACAATATGACTTATACGAAACGAGTGCAAAATTTCACACTCGTTTCGTATAAGGCGTGTGACACTTACACAATAATCTCTATTTATCATGTCCAGCGTAAGCACATTTCTCTTGTGATAATACTTCAAGAGTGACATTGTGTGTAGTTTAGCCACTCAGATTAACGTCATTTTTCTTCATGCACTTGATATTGATGTCACATATCCTGGGGTGAATTTGGCATGGCCTCACTATGGTTTCAGCAGTTCAATTGCTATGATGGGAAGCTTCTTCAAAAGGATCAATCCTAGGTCTGTTAGAATCAGCATGAGATACAAGTCAAAATGTCCGCTTAAGAGAGCATAGTCACAAGCCTGTGCACCTCTCATCGTTAGCAGTGTCGTGTTACAATTAGCCCTTAGCAGTATCTCCACTATATCTTTTCTACCTCTCAAGGCTGAAAAATGCAATGGTGTTAGCCCATCTTTGTTTTTGAGGTTGACGTCAGCCCCAGCGTGGATGAGTATCTCCGCAATAGTAGAGTTACCGTTGGCACATGCAATATGGAGAGGCGTTACTCCCTTGATATTTTCATTGTTTACATCCGCACCACGTTGAACGCATAGTGAAACTAGTGATGAATGGCCCAAATATGTACTTAGACTGAGGAGAGACTCATTGGTAACTGTCCTTGCATTAACATTAGCCCCGCGATCTAATAGTTCACGAGCCACATCTACACTGCCTGAAAGAACTGAGTGATGAAGTGGAGTTTCCCCTTTTTGAGATGGGGCGTTGATATCCATGTCAAGTGCTAAGAGAAACATCAGCAGTTTTCTAGCAGGCAGTGTTGCTGCGTGGTGGAGAACAGTCACACCTTTTGCAGTTTTACGCTGAACATCACAATGCATTTGTAAGAGGGATATCGCTGTCTCCTCATTTCTCCTCATGCATGCAACATGAAGGGGTGTCAGTCCTTCTACAGTTGTTGAATTGGGGTTAGCACCTTCAGCAAATAGTATCTTTAGTATATCCGGATGGCCGCACTGTGCCGCAAAGTGGCATGGTGTCCACAGCCTTTTATCAGCTATATGGACATCTCCATCGTGTGATATCAAGAGTTTTACAAGTCCTACATTGCCCACATCACAAGCTGTATGTAGTGGTGTTTTGCCATCATTCAATCTCGCATTCGTATCCCCTCCGCTAGAAACGATGACTTTGACTACACTTTCGTGGTTACTCATAGCAGCCACATACAGTGGATTTGAACCAATGTTGTTCCTTGCATTGACGTTCAACCCAGCTTTTATAAGCGCTTCTACTGTTTGTGTATGTCCATGTGCGGCTGCAAGAATAAGAGCTGTATCTCCTGTCCTGGTTGTCATGTTCAAATCGTTTGCTCCTGCCCTATGAGTGTGAGAACATTTTGCTTCAAACCATTCGTCGCAGCAATGTGTAGTGCAGTCTCCCCTTTACTGTCTCTGTGAGAACGTCTCATGTTAATATCTGCACCATACCGTAAGAGGGCTCTCACGAAGTAATCATCTGTTTTTTCTGCAGCATAATGGATAGGTGCATAACCAGACCCACACGTTTTATTGACACTTGCTTTGTTCTGTAAAACACACTTAAAGATCTGCTTATGGTTCCCTATTACTGCCAGGTGTAATGCTGTAAGGGAATTGGGACCTTTGAAATCGACAGAACACCCATGTTTAAGTAACAATTCCAAAATGTCCTTATAGCCTCTATGAACAGCTGTATGTATCAAAGCAAAACCAGCCTGGTTTCTGATATGTGCACTGAACATATTCAGAGCACTTTCGACAGATTTAACTGCTCTAAGAGATCCTGTTTCCACTATCAAATGCAAGGGCGTGTTGCCATCCTTGTCCCGATCCAGCATGAAATTAAACCTCTGTTTCCACATGGTTATGATGTCACAATGTCCTGAGGCAGCTGCCAAGTGAAGCGCTGTTTGTCCCTTCGTATTTGTTTTCAGATTTTTCCTGACGCCATACGAAATAACTTCCCGAACGACTTCGTGGTTGCCTGTTTCCACAGCTGTATGCAATAACGATTTCCCATCCCGTCTTAGTAGATGAACATTAGCTCCTCTTGACCGCAGTATTCTCATCAAAGCAATTAATGAACCTCTGACTGCCAGATGTAATGGACTTAATCCATCAAAAGTGCATCCGTTTATTTCACCTCCTCTCCTGTGCAATAGTTTGACTAATTCAATATTTCCTTGAAGGCTTGCAAAGTGCAAAGCAGTCCAACCTTTTTCATCTCTCACGTTTACCACAACTGCAAAATCAATCAGTGATTCAACGATTTCTTTTAAACCCTTTTCAGCAGCTTTTATGAACATTCTGTTGAAGTCAATACTTCGGTGTTGATTCTGAAGGTTCAGCTTTCTAATAAGTGTCTTGATTATAGCAGTTTGGTTATTGTCGATGGCAGTTTGGAATGCTGCCTCCACAAAATCACTTTCACGTGATACTGCGCGGACATGCTCTGCATAATACGACTGCATAAGTTCAAACGCAGACTGGTTGCCATATTCACAACAACCAAGTACAACTTCTGCTACCATTTCTTTTGAAAATGTAGAATTCTGCACAATGCTTCTGATGAGCTTTTCATCATTATTGCTGCACAAGGTAGAGGAATGAATGGTTTGATCTTGCATCTTTCACGCGCAATACTCTTTCTATAGTTGCCTTTGAAAAAAGCTCCACGACTCCTTCGTGTGTCTTAAACACACTGTGAGTGAGTACTTCTGAAATGTTACCTTCAATCAGTTCAGAAACGAGTCTATTCATCAAATCTGACATGGGCCATTTAACCAGACGTATGTCTAAACAGGAACTGATAGTTCCATCATCATTGAACTGAACAATGTCCTTCAGATATGATAGGCGGCAATGATCAATTATGAACTTCAGTTTATGCTTACCAATTACAGCAGCTACTCTTTCCTGAACTGAAGCATGGGAAAAGCAAACAAAATGTTCCTCTGTCTTCAAATGAGAGCCCATCATATTCTCAATTGCTTGCTGTAGTTTCATGAAATGAACACAGAGGCTTTCAGTTGGAATTATATCATCTTTTCCAAAGATTTCTTTTAACATGTTTGCAATCTGACACTGTTCTGTAGTAGGTTCTTTCAATGAAATTAGTTTAGAAACGTCAAGCCGACCCTCTTCATAAACAAGGAGGCAGTAGGCAGCTCGTTTGTACAAATCTTGCCAGTTAGCCGTAATAGTGTCATCAAGAAACAGTTTTGGATTCTCAAAGAATTCTTCTGGATTGTCCGTTGTACTTCTAAGGGTGAAAAACAGAAGGCAAATAGACGGAAAACCATAAGGGAAAGTCAGTCCCACAATCTTGTCAATGTCTTCATCAGCCAGGTGTTCTTTCTCAGGGTGTTGAAGTTGATGGCTCTTGAATATTTTCTTTTTGTCTGCCGTTGGTATTGAATTTTGAGTAATGTTAAGAATCTTTTGCCTTGAAAACAAAAAGGTTTGAAACTTTTCCAATTGGGGGGTAGCTTCTTGAAGGATGTAATCCCTGGATGTAAATAGTGTCAGAAATCCGGGGTCTCTAGAAGAATACACACTTTTGTTTACATCTTCAAGGACTGGTTTCCATTGTCTTAATTCATTTGGATCAAAATAGATGGATCCAAATATGTCATTAAATAATACAATTGTCTTAGACTGAATATGCAGTTGAAAAAATTCTTCTGGACTTTTCAGCACAAACACTTCCCATCCCTCTTTCCAAAAAGCATTCAAGATTAAATATGCAACGGTTGACTTTCCTTCCCCTGGTGCCCCAGTTACAGTTAAGACATTGTTCTTCTCCAGTTGTTCTCGTGCCGTCTGCACAATTTTAGTGTTCACCATATTTTGAGAACACCTCTCAACTCTGCCTTTGACCGTTCTGCAACAATAACCAGAACAGGTAGATAAACATGAACATGTTATGCCGATCGAAATATTAATCAGTTTCAATTCCAATAATGAACACTTCTTAGCAAGTGGACTATCCTCAAAGTGTCAAGTTTCATATTCCTTTCAGAAGAAGTCTTGGGGCCTTGTAGGCCTTGTATGTCAATGTTGGTTTGTGGTTTAAATGTTGTATTTCACCAACCTTGCAAATGGCGTGCACCATACTGCGTGGGAAGATACGGTTTCACTGCTTGAAGTACAAATATGTTGTGGGCTGCTGAGTAGAAAAAAACTGTTTGGGATTATTCTGAATTTCTGATTATATTGAGTGAAAATAACGTTAAGTGGTTTCTTAATTTTTTGCAACAGTTTTGGTTGAAATAGATCCATGTTGGTAACTAAAGCTACAATACTTCAACAGTGATTGCTCATTTACTTACCCATGACACTCCTGACAGGTTTCAAGAATTGTTCAGGCTCTGGTTGGTCAGAATTGATGGTGTTATCTCCAATAGCCATAAAAGAAATGTTTTCTGAGGAAGAAGACAATATCAGTTGCAACAATTGCCTTCTTTGATTTAGAGATGTTGATGATGTTGATAATCCTTTGTTTGATGTGGATTGATACATTCTATAGCAGAGAACCAATTGTAGCTTCCACATCAATTAACAAATTCTTGTAATACCTGTCCTCAAATTTGAGTCCCCACAAAATATGTTTACTCAGCCCCATGCTTATGACAGATGTTGCACAAACAAAAAACATATATCTTTCACACAGTCACTGGGATTTATTACATCTCATTGAATGGCAAAATGATGTTGTTGATCTCAGTAATTTCATAGTTACAAATTAGTTATTGTACTTCTCGAAAGCACTGCATTCGTATATATTTATTGATTAGTGTTAAACCTCTGTCGTTTTCAGGCATGATCGCCATGGGCGAATCCAGTCCGTATCCAAGTGGCTTCGGGTCTGTCAAAGTTTGGCATTCTGGTGTCGTCACGTCCATATTGTCATTCTCAGATTTCAGCTTTCGTTCATGATCAGCTTCTTCTGTTGCAACTAAAATATAAAGAATGTAATGGTGTACTGCAAACAAATGACACATGTTAAAATGAGTGAGTGAGTGAGGTTGGTTTAGTTTAAAATGATTGAAGTGCAAGCATCACAATGTATACTCAAAGGCAAAAGTAGATGTAATGAACACACTTGTTTATATAAACGACAATTTTTTAGAACGCATTTTAATAGTCTTTATACTAGACTTAATCCTTAACCTAAACAGGGCCCTGTTTTTGCTTTACATGCATTTTTCGTGCTTTCACGAAGTCAGTGGAAAAAAAGGCTTAAAACGTCCCTTTGAAAAGTGTGGCTCTAAACCGCGAATCATTGTCACCCAAATCAATGTATTGACGTCCTGCCAGACGACAAATTTTGAAATTATAACACCAACGTCTACGACTGCAGTGGTGCAGACAACATCTGCGGTGGAGAGCACGTGAGTGGAGATATTTTCTCTTCACTGACGAGACCAGAATCCTCTTGCACCGGACTGATGAACGAAACCAAGTTTACCAGCTAATCCCAAGATCTGTCCCCTATCGAACACGTCTTGGCCAAAATGAAGAGGAGATTTAAACGTTGGCCAACCCCCCAGACATTGCTCCAGGAACTCAGCCAAGTGCTTCCATATGAGATGCCATTCCACAAGACTTCATGCAATCTTTGGTTTGCTCTATAAGACGCAGGTGTCATGCATGCATCAATGCTCATGGTGGACACACACATTATTGACTGTGTGATTTTCATTTTGACCATTCTCTCACTGTGAGCTCATTAAAATGTGTAAAAGTTTAAAATGTGCCATTTGCAATCCTATTGTGGAATGATTTTCTTGCAATATTAAGAAAGTTTCATCATAAAAATATCAGCTGTTAATTCACATACCTAACATATATAACGTCAAGTCAATCACGCTAACCTTTTGTCTTTGAGTACATTAACGACTGTCTATTCTTGTACTCCTTCCACAAGTATCTTTCCACTTAAAGTAGTTGTGCAATGCTCATCCCAAGACCTTGGAGTCGACCGTTAGAACTGATCTTCAGCAACCCATGCTTGCCGTAAAAGGCGACAAACGGGATCGAGTAGTCAGGCTCAGTGAGTTGCTTGACACATGTCATCATATGTCCATTTGCATAGATCAATGCTCATGATGTTGATCACTGGATTGTCTGGTTCGATTATTTACAAACTGCTGTCATATAGCTGGAATATTGCTGAGTGTGGCATTAATATTTTTATATATTATATTATATAAACAAATTCAGTCATTATAAACAGGCGAGACAATGTGTTAAACAGTAGAGCAAATGTTGGATGCATCTATCATTCAGCCATGTGAGTCTTAGTGGCGATTACCATGAGTTATAAAGAATGATATTTTTTTAGATTTTCTGTTGATTTCCGAAAATTAAATGAAGTCTCAAATCCTGCATACTATTTACTGTTCTGGATTGTGCAAGTGGCTTCTGGCAAACACCACTGCATTCAAATCTGAGCATAAATCAGCACGTGTAACTTAAAGAGGCACTGGTCCAGAGCAAGTTCCGTGGATCGGTTGTCGCTTTTGTTATTGTTTTTCTCCCGTGAGTACCCGGATGATATCTTAGAATTCGTGACTGGTGCTGCATCACCCGCATACACAATTGATAGTTTCGTATACATTGATCAACAAAGATGAAATCTGTTTTACTTATTATGATAACAAACGGAAACATTTTGAAGTTGAATCATCTTCCTGTGGTAAAAACAGTTAGGACAAAAAAATAACGAAGTCTGTATGTCTTTATATTTTGTCTTATATAATAATAATAGTGGATTTGTATTGCACTTTTCCAAACTTGGATATTATGCTCAAAGCGCAGTGAGCTTTGATCAGAAGAAAGCTTGGCGGAAAAGATGGGTTTTGATAGCTGTTTTGAAGGCAGAACAGGTTTGACACTGGCGGACATCAAGGGGAAGATTGTTCCAGGCAGTGGCTGCAGCATATGCAAACGATTTCTTCCCATAACTAGAGAGTTTCACTTTTGGAACAATAAACAGATGTGTGAATTCAGACCGAAGGGTTCTGCTGGGACAGTACAATGGAAGTAAGACACAGAGATACTGTGGGGCTGTTTGAAAGTAGCATTGGAATGCCAGATAAAGGAGCTCAAAGTCGATTCGTTGTTTTACCGGAAGCTAGTGGAGTTCTTGAAGGATGGGTGTGATGTGGTTCGACATGGGTGACAGAGAGACAAGGCGAGCAGCTTTATTTTGAATCCTTTGGAGTCTGTGTAGGTTGATATTTGGAGAGTTGGCGAGAAGACTATTACAATAGTCAAGGCGAGAAATGATAAGAGAGAGAGTCAGCATTTTTGTAGCTTCTTTGGTGAGACAGGGTCTGATCTTGTTGATGTTCCTTAATTGTAGGTGGCAGACTTAAGAGAGTTGACTGATTTGCCTGTCCAGACAAAGTTCAGAATCGATGACAACCCCGAGGTCTTTCACATGGGATGACAGAGGTATGGTAGAGTTGTTCACTCTCATCGAGTGAATTTGGCATTTCTGACGCCTCTGTGATGGACCAATGAGAATTGCTTCAGTTTTCTCCTCGTTCAACTGTAGCTTGTTGTTGGTCATCCAAAGTTTGATTTCTTTACAACAATCGGATGTTCGGTAGATAGCCATGGCAGCTGCAGAAGGACTTGGTGTGAAAAGATTACACAGCTGAGTGTCATCAGCATACAAGTGGTGTAGGAGATTATGTTTAGTGCTGATGTTGCCTAGAGGTCTGGTGTAAAGACTGAACAGTGTGGGTCCTAAAACCGATCCTGGCAGGACGCCGCATTGAAGTTGAACAGGACTAGATGAAATTCCATTGATGACTACTTTCTGTGTTCTATCTATCAAGTAGGATTGAATCTACTTCAGTAACGATCCCCTAATTCCGAATTCTGAGTCAAGACGTGTCAAAAGGTTTTTTATGATCAGTGGTGTCAAAACCTGCACTTAGATCAAACAGAATTAGAAGAGCAACATCACCATTCCTAATTAGTTTATTATCTTATTTGTATGCATTTTGAATCTTAATAAAACGCACACGATCTGCTTGTCCTTATAGTGAATTTATAACATGACCGTAATATGTAGACATTTTATGGATTGATAACATGAATCATATTTCACACACACGCCCTAAGTGTAACCTAGTCGATGTTGTCTGTCTCATTGCACTTCACTGCAAGAAGAATGATTCTGTTGACTGCTACAACAAATGAATAAAAACAAAATGTAAATATTAAAATTAAAACAGACTAAGGTATAGCACCAATGTCAGGCTATTTTCTTGTTGTTCAATTTTTCACATTGGTGTATAGTCTCATTGGTCACCCTAGATAGCACACCTGGCAACTAACTGCATGATCTCCGCCATTCTTTAAAAAGTAATTTAGTCAGCCAATAATGAGCAATCAATCAACGTAATGACAGTTAATCCTTTGAAGGAAGGACGTTTTTACACAGGCACTCTTCGACAGGATGTATTCAGTATAGATTAGTACGTCTACATACATAAACACTACCATTTGTCAAATCCACTGTGCCAGACAAATGTAATTAATCAGTCAGCGTGTTTTAAGTTAATTCTTTGATCTATGTTTGTTTTGAAACTCAGCTGATAAATCATTTTGCTGCACTTCCATGTGCATATTACATTTTGCCACATCAGACCTTAATTTGTAATGTTGAGTATTTACTTCAGACGAGAGAAACGCCAAATGGGAACCTTTGTCGGGTAATCTGAGTGGTATTACCAATAATTATACCTGTTATAAATTCATTACCTGATCATCAAGTGAATGGCGGCAAATATCATGTGGAGGTTTAAAAGTCACATGACATTATACCTGTTATAAATTCATTAACTGACCATCAAGTCAATGATGGCAAATAGTATGTGAAGGTTTATACCACACAAACACGGGTTATAGGAAGGGAGTTGCCATTGCTGAATTGCATGCAATTGTAATTGCCTGAACAAACTTATGGGCCGACACTGTTTTGAGGATACGAATGGAACTTCATTGTTGCATAAGAAATACATATAATCATTGCTGTGTTCTTACGTTAAAACAGTATATACATATTTACCTAAGTAAATTTTCAGATTTTTCTTGCAATTGCAGTTTAGTTTATGGACTCAAATAAATCAAATATGTGTTTTTAATACCATAGTTAATAGACATAATATTTTTACATGACATGATTAAATATCAAGGTAAAATTCACAGAAATAGGATCAAATTGGATCAGTCACTATACCATCCAGCCATTAGAAAATCCGAAAAGCCTACACTGCTGATATACAACAATCAGACAAGAACTACCAAGTATAATTTCAAACAACGGCATCTGATGGGCATCCACCCTTCCAAATGTCCCACTGTTAAGGTCGAACAAATTCTGTTCCAAATTATTCTGAAGTTGCTGTTTCACTTACAAAATGAATAAAGATTTGAATGGGCCCAGGCTTGTCAGAAAACATTGATAATCTAAAACTCAGCCTAAACTAATGCTCCAGTATGCTTACCCTGACTTTACAAAGCCCTTTATACTAACCACCGATGCAAGTGGAGAAGCCTTGGATACATTCTTGGTCAGCTACATGATGCTTGTCAAGAGAATGTCATAGCATATGGAGGGATATCTTGCAATTCTGGAAGGCATCATAAACTTCAGGTCTTACGTAGCTGACAGTAGAGTCGAACTTTACACAGATCATAAAGCCTTAGCTTTAACATTAAGATGTGCAAGAACATTGGCACTTTTCTTCTTGCGAGTTGGTCTCTGATCCTCCAGGAATATGACTTTGAACTTCACGGTGCAGGATGAGACAGTTAAGAATGCTGAGCCAACAACAACACTCCATTATATCTACCACCCCAAGCAAAGAGGCGCTAAACCAGACAGACCTTCTTCAGTAACCCACCTGACAGTTCCACATCAGGACTGAAAAGAACTGCTATCTGCGGACCATAACTCATAAGTCGCGGCACACCACCTTCAAAGAGACTCCACAAGAAAGCAATCCAGCACAAAATCTATTGGCCAAACATGTATCAAGACATAGAAGAGTACATCAAGACCTGTGACCTTTGTGACCCGTGGTACCTATGCCAAATGAGGGAACCTTTCAGCACTTCCATGTTGATATCCTAGGACTAATGCCAAAGACCAAAAATGATAACAGGTATATTCTTCAAGTAAGATTTGCAGACTTGATGGTTACAGGTTACAAGGTGTGGCGCACCAAGGAATTTGGTCACAGTTAGAGGAAGACCTCCATGCTTGTCAATGCTATATGTGAGCTGTATGAAGTTCAACATCACTACACATCACCCTACCTGCCACAAACCAATGGAGGTTGCAAAAGAAGAAACAAGAACATTTCACAAATCCTGAATGTCTATGCCAACCCTCAACAGGACATCTGGGATGAGGTTGTAAAATGGTAAAATGGGAATCAAACGCTCCCTTTTCCAGTCAACATTATCTTCAGGCATGAAATGTTCTTAGTTTATGACACCAACATCCTACCCAAGGACCGTCATATAGCTGGAATATTGCTGAGTGAGGCTTACAACTAAACTCACTCCTACCAAAGGAATCTATGAGAAAGGATGTGTTGGATCTCCTCAAGGAACTATTGGATAACCCAAAGATCACTGATAATATCGCTAGATGTAGAATCCAGTCAAGAACAGGTACGAACAAAACGTAGCCAGCGGTCCAGAAACGTCTAACTTGTAAACTGACAAAGGAATTCATTGGTCCCTTTGCAGGGGATAGGCCCCAACCACTCAGAAAAATGTTGTACAACTACAAAATTATGGAAATCTGGAAGTCACGATCGTGTGAAGATGCATCAGCAGAGACAGCCATTACCCCACCCTGACAGCAGCAGGAGATCCTTCAGCATAAGCAAGCATTGCTGCCTTATGAGCATGGTCAGATGAGACAGTAGTAGAATGGAGGCCAACATGATCCACCCCTGATAGACACCAGTGGTCTAAAAAGGTCACTTAGATCAAGCTGACCTCTCAAAACAATAAAACTGAACACCTTGTTAAAATGAATCCCTGAAGTTTATTCAGTTTGTAGGCCATCGGCCAATGTAACTCACGGGCGAAAGAAACGTCACCAAAATGTTTTATCTTTTATCGTACACTAGTGATTATTCCTATCTGTAGTTCACACTTTCATCATTCAGAATGTTGTAAATCCATAAATTGTCCGCATATGATTGTTAAATTTCCAAAATCTGAGTTTGTGACATGTTAAAAAAAGCGAGGTTACGTTTCTTTCGCCCAATGTACAATGATATTGTGTTGTCAATTTACAAAAGTTCGACTTTTAAGAGATGATTTGATAAATTAAGCACAATTCAATCATGTCATTAGAAGTTATTAACTTTATGAATTTACAAACATTTGTTAAATTATTCCATAGGGGTAAATAAGCTTTTTGGATTGTTACATATTTATCTCATTCAAACAGGAAGTGGACCTCATCTTCGTTTCTATTACTATTACATATCTTACAAATTACATCAGAGCTCCTTCAGTTTCCTTCCATCTAATATTACATCGTAATGGTAATGCATTGAATCTTAATAAACATAAATATATTCTTAAATCTCTTACATTAATTCTTAAAATGTGGTTATCAAGTGGTAATAATGATATAATACTTATAAAATGTACAAGACTGGATGAATCCATGATATTGCTACTAATATTTTGTTTTGAACAATCAACTAACCTCTGCTCAAATAAAGATAAAAAAATGACACATTTCCCAGTCTTGGGAAAACAAACATAACCAAATCCATAACTCATTTAAAAGCTTACTTGTTTTTGAAATCCTAGTAATCCTACCAACAGAATCTAATCTAATTATATGATTATAACATTGTTTAGGGTAACGATCATTGCATGTTCTTAATAGTTTACACAAACATGTAACACATTTAAGATGATAATCCACAATCATGCTATATTTTCTACATTCAGCTAATGCTGCATTACTTGATGTATGTTTACCAACCCCTAAAACAAATTTACAAAAGTTATTATGAAATTTGTCAACAACACTTCTTTCCTGAAATCCCCACAGATCGGATCACAGCCAAATTGGGAGCCAGAAGATAACACTGACATTCAGCACTGAAACACGTTCAATGCCAAATACGTGCAGGCGGTCAAAGGAAGGGCAAGAAGAAGACGCTCTTCAGTAGAGTATAAGCATGATTGCTAATCTAAATATGTTTATTTACTTATAATTTGTTGATTTCTTATTGATCTTGAGTGGGTTTTTTTCATATATGTAATTGAATTCCAATAGTACGTATTTAAGGCTAGTGTGTCAGTATGGGAATCAAACACATAGCAAGTGCATGTTCAAATATCTTTTGACTGGATTTTGACAGACGTTACAACCATTACCTCTGAAGAAGGGTGTTATTTTGAGGATAATACCGATGACCTACAATAATTAAGGTAAAAGTAACGTAAACAATGACATATTTTATCCATAACGATACAGGTTTATCAATGAAAGCCTTTACCATAGATCTTCCGTTACCACAGATTCAATGTGACAATGGCACATACTAAATATGAAATAGACAGTACGTTTTTATAGGCTTACCTTTCTGAGATCCACGAACAAATTGCCAGGTCCTCCCAAGTTTGTTTATACCTTGAACCGTCTCAGAGATATCACAGTCTGCCACTATATTGACAATGTCTGACGTCTCACAGAAACTCTCCTGTCCAAGTTCATCAGCTGGGATAATGCGATCCTGGCATATGGACAACCTCCTGAAAGAAAATTAATGCATTATGATATATTGATACACTGTTCATTAAAATATTGTTGAATATTAGGAATTTGAGATCAACAAAAAGAACTTAATGAAGAAGAAGTCAGCTGTTATTTTATGGAATTTGAAGGAGAATGAAGTACCTGGCACTCTGTAGTAGTGACTCTGACTTTGCAACAATTGCCGTATGGCCTGATTTTTCTAGTCGTTGTGCGATCACAAGTAGCAGGACGTTCCCTCCACAAGAAGGTTCCGAACTCACTTCCACTTGGTTGTAGTCAATGTTTTCGGTGAGGACCCGAAACTGCTCCAACGTGAGACAGTTCAGCGAATTACCTTCCTCCGCTGTGAAAACACAATTGGTGAAAGCAATTGACATGATAAATGCAGAAGTGACTTCCTTGAACTTTTTCTCTGACATACTCAGTGTAACTGGAATGCACCATTTGGACGTTTTGACTTTGATCGTGTCCATGGCTTTCTTAAACTTGTCATCATCCTTGAGGTCAGTTTCTGTCATCAGCCCAAAAACCACACTAAACTGTTCTTTTGCATACCTTCGGACAGATGCCACAATACCTTTTGCGAGTGTCTGGTTATACTCAAGTACTCTGCTCTTTCGTTTGCTGTTTACTTTGTCACTGATAACTGTGAATACTGTTGTAGGTCCATCTGGGACAAACACAATCACATCGTAAATGGCTTCAGCTGAATTTGGTTTGGCAGCAATATTAGCAGACACTGCCATCAGTTTGGCTGTGTAGGCAAAACATGTCTTGTAACTGCTCTGGAGTCTCTGATGTATTATCCATCGGATCCCAGAGTCTTCATTGATGTCCAGTTTGGGATATATACACACTTCCCCTAGAAAGGAAGAACAGTGAATACATGAAAATACATTCTTTGTTAGTTTCATTTCTAATGCCGCACTCAGCAGTATTGCAGAATGTGACATTGGCCTGGAGATAACCGAGTCTGGACCTCTCAGTATTTGATGTCGTTTATGGTTAACATGTCCTTTACTGTATAAAACTGGAAGAGGCCTATTAACTTCACATTTTCAGTCACCTTACCGAGAAAGGTCCACAAAGCCAAACTTTCTAAACATGGGTGGCTGATTCGAACCTCTTCAACAAACATGTTGAAATGCATGATGTATTACAATTATCATTTTGACATCAGGCACTTTACCCTACATATGGTGATCATATATTTTAAAATGTTTAAATCACAGAAGATGCTCATATCAAAAATAAAAATTCTGATGCCTTTAGTAAATACGAACATCTACATAATATTTTGATTGAACGTATCACGTTATTTCAGGGAAATGTAAAATACAAAACGTTTGTGGCAGACGATGACTTGTTATCAATATGTTTGCAGATATAGTAAGGCATGGGATTTGTTTAATAACAGATGACACGACCAATCTTTCTACGGTGTACATAGAAACATGCACTACATACCTCCACTGAATACATGCTGTTTTATCAAGTCGGTACTGTTTCCAACCTGCAAAAGGCGTGGACGATGATGGTCAAAAGACACACTATTTACTTCGTGGATACGCGCCTTTGAAACAGGTTCTGAAACATAAACACAGATTCGGCTTCAGTATGTATCTTTGAAAGTAGGGCCTAACTGTAAATATATGAAAAGGCATTAGAACGTGTTTGTGGGCAGTTGCAAAAATCAATTCCTGTTTCACCATGTTGAATGTTCTTCAGAATAGTATTATTACGTGACCACAGTACATTCACTTGTCTAAGAAGAAGATGATCATGAGTTCTACTTTAAGATAATGATATCTGGTTTCTCAGAACCCTAAGACCCATGTGTTTCATCAAAGTGGTATCTTTGGTCGACATGTGCCTCTTATGGCTTTCTTCCCAATATACAGTTAACTTAAGCATAAGGGATTGTGTAAATAAACTACAGAATCCATTTGGTATCACTCGTCTTGTAAAGCCAAGAACATGATTGAACAAAAAACCCACCTTTTATCTCTCCGTGACTTGATTTATGATACGCCATATCTGCTTTCTGTTATAATAAAAATATTATATTGTTATACTAAATTATATTTGAATTGGGATAACATGAGCATAAATCTTTGCAACAGAGACTAAGCACTATTTTTTTTTAAAACTGCACTATTTTATTCTTAAAAATTACGATAATTTTTTACAATGGATTTCTACTTTCCACTTTTGAATCAGAAGATTTTTTAAAAAGTAACATTCTATATTTGTGTTTACATACAATATGGCATTTTGCTACATTAAGAATTGTCATGATGAAAAGATAGAAATAGCTTTGTTGGTAATTACACATTAAGAGTCTGGCACGCCACTCGTTTGCAGTAAGTCGTATGCAAGATCCAGATTCCCCTGGTCCCTAATTCATATGCCTCTGGTCCTTCTTTGTCATAGAACACCAAGCCATTAATGGCTGGCACTGCAACCTCAATGACAAAATGATTATTTTCAGTTGGATGGAACTTAATCTTCACAAGTTCTGGTGGCAGCGGGCCAGCTGCAAGTCTTTCGTCAAAGTAGAGCACGAGAGTTTCAGTCCCAATTTTATGTCTTATTTTATCTGCTACAGATGAGTGATAAGTTTCAGGAACATCAATTCCATCAACAACGTATTTGTGAGACGTATAGGAGTTATACTGTGTATCCTGTTCAGAGATTCCAACATAATATGAACCTCCACCATCAACCTTGGTAAAGGCACTGATGTAATGGTTTAGTCGAAGCAGATCCCAAATATGATTTACCAGTCTTTCAGGGTTGTTGAGAATGTTGCCAGTGGCATCTGCTCCTGCTCCATCTGGTTGAACTGACTTGAATTGCATACATCGACTTTCATGTAAACGGTCCAAATTGTCCAAATTGCGTATTTGAGCTGTAACATTTTGGAACAATGTCTTCCACTTCAAGAACTGTACTATTTCAGTATTCACTGGATCTACAACACCGTTGTCAAGTGGGAGTTTTGTTTTGAAGTTAACTGTTGCCACTGAGAAAGAAGGTACTACTGTCACACCAACTACATCTCTATACAAATTGTAATCTGTAGCTTCTTCAGTGGAATCTTCATCTGTATCATCTCCAGACTCACCTTCGTCATCAGAACAATCAGCTAAACAGTATAACCAATTCTTCTTGTACACTTGGATAAACAGACTTCCATCTTCAATAATTTGATTGAATTTGACATCGACAAGTTCATGGAAATGGTCCAGGTATTTATCTTCACGGTCAAGGTCGCAAATATGTAGAAGTATGACTCCTCCTCCTGAGTTCCGTAATGCTGATATGTATTTCTTGAGTTTCAGAACTAATGTATTTCGATCAACCTTCCTATCACACTTTTTTTCTGGAAGAAGTTTTTCATTTGGCAGGTTGATAAGAACAGATGGTGCATGCAAAAACAAGAATTTGTTTTCGGCTGAGAAGATTTTATCCTTCTTCCTGAATAGTTCTGAACAGGTTTGGCACTCTGGAAACAAGACGTTAAAAGTGTAGCAGATTTGTGAGTATATCTGACATATATATCAAAAATGAGATTAGATGGGGACAGATGAATATGCTTGCACAGATCGTTTGCGAACGATTACAGTCAAAGGCAATATACTATAAGCATTTGAAATATGCATGAATGACAGAGGGATGTTGACGAAGGAATGATTGTTGGCATTTAAGACTGAAGAAGAAGGATCATCATGTAGCAGGGAAAATTAGCTGAAGCTAATGTCCAGAGTTAAAGTTGTGAAATTATTAAGGGATAGTGGTTGAAATATTGATCTGTATTATGAAGAATATAATATAACAAGTCAACAGAGGTGTATATCCTACAGAAAATACAATATGTATGAACATATTCATATTTTTAATAACGTTCTTAACAAATCCGATTGAAACGAAACATATTTTACGTTCCAGAATTTGCGTGGGTTTCAATACCATTCCCTGTAGAAAATCTGTGTCCCAAAATATCCCACAATGTTTCAAATTTCAGGAACAACCAACTATGTCCCTTTCCTACAGTTGCACTGTTTCATCGCGGTTGTTCAGAATGTGGAATTGGCAGCTCACGATGCAAAGTCGATGCTGTCGAAGTATATAAAAATGTACACACACACAATAACAAAGAGACCAAAAGAGAAAAGAAACCTGTAGAACCTCTTTTAAAGTTGGTTAAGTCAAAACACGAGGGGAAATAATTGCAATAAACCTGTTGTGTCCCAGCCAACTGCCATCCAAAGTCTGTCTGCCCTGCATGAATAGTGTGTAGCTGTTCCTACTGACAAGGCTTCAAATAACATAACCATTATATGTTAACATACCTACATGAACTGTTTGATAAAAAAGCTTGGCACAGGGGATATATCAAATAATGCCACATAAAAGGTCTTTATGTTAAGTAATGTGCCGAAACCATTCATTGTTACCATCTACTTTTGACTTTAAGAAAATTACTATTTTGTACTGGATTTCAACATTCAATAAAATCCGTACAAAGAGATATACTACCTGGTCCGGGAAATACATACAACCACATCCTTGACTCAAAGATTAACCTTTACCCTTAATCCAGGAAGAATTTTCTCTGTAAACACAGAAAGTATTTGATACAAGCGGGATCAATACCACATAGATTCTCTTCAGCTTTAACGTTACACATCACTATCACACATGACAAACTAGAAGAAAAATATTCATTTCTTGATCCATGGATTTCTATCCTAACAGGTTCAGAACAATTTGTCCAAAATGATAGCAAACGTCTTCTAGAGTTTACTTGAAAATTAATATGTGAAACTCTGTAGTTTTTCTGATCACCAGAAAATTGTGGTCACATGAAGGGTTGCATTTCACAAAAGAGCATGCACTGCATGCACACTGGGTGGTTCACCACGGTTTAAATGGGTGGATGCATCAGTTACCCTTCAAGATGGCCGCCACTGGGTATACAAAAATATTGCATTTCACAATAAAGTCGCAAAGATTTGTCGTATTTGAATGGTCTTGGTGTCAAAACATACATTTTTTACTAATAGAATCCGAATTTTGAACTATATTTCTACTCTCTAGCTTCCTTGTACAATATCAGTCCCGGAATCATAATTAGGGTAAAAAAGTGACGACATATTATTGGATTGAAATGTACGCAGTAGGCTTACACTTACTGTCCTGCCGCCTGGATGACATTATAACTAACTTGTCCTCACCGTAGATTTCAGGCCAGAGCCACTTGATCTACTTGGCTACTGCATATATTGGCTAGTCAGCAGCAATGACTGGCACCTGCCCGGGGTTCAGAAATGCCACTATCTCCTTGATCTTGTCCATAACATGCCTGACTGCAGCAAATGAGTGGGCCTGGTCTCACAGCAGAGACAAAAGTGAAGTAATGCTGACATCAAATGGTTTTCCTCTCTTCTGTGAAGCATGATGGGCTGACCAAGTCACATTCACTGGCCCATCTGTCACAGTGACCTTCTCCAACCACGCATACTCCATTGCCAGTTGTGGCCTTAATAGACTGGTGTCTGGGTATGTCACACCATTCTGGGAAGGAGAGGGTTTCTTGGTGAAAAAGGCGGGTCGGACATTGGTGAAAGAGTCCGGAAGTTCTGGAACAGTCTTCACTTTCTCTTCTCCAAACTTCAGTTGTCCATGCTCTTCATCTTTGTTTTCTTTGGCTGGGTGCTGGAAACCAGGGATGCTGGTTCCATGGAAAGAAGTGGTCGCTGTCGTTGCAGTGGGATTGTGGTGTATGGTGTCCATGGCTGAAGTGGTGAACAGCCCTTTTTGCAGGACTGGTGGACAGACCACCCCATTTTCCACGTACTTGTTGACTATATCTCCCAGCTGTGCATATATCTCTAGCCCCCTGCCGTATGCATGACATGCTGATTTCATGCTCGTTTAGCATTTCCAGCAACGTTCTCTTTCTGGTGTTTGTGTAGACTGGGAATGGGGTTTCTTTGTCTTTGGAGTGTCTGTGAGTTCCTGATCTTTCTTTGAACCTTGCGTAGGAGTTGTACTGAAGCAGCTGAGCAATTGTTAGGTCTGTCTTTGATGCACCAAACCTCAGTGGACATTTGATATCCGCTCCGTGTTCAAGCCTGTCACAAACTGAAGAAGAGTGCACACCTCATGGAAAGTTCCGTCAAATATGGACTTGTGGTGCAGCATATGTCTTCTCAAGATGTTAGTTGCTTTGCCAAGGATAATAGCTTCACTACAATAGTCAGAAGCTTCTGACAAAAGCCCACATCTTTCTGGAAAACCAGAAGAACACCCCGTCCCTGTTTGTGAGCTTCCAGCTCAGGTATTTGTGACAGCAGGGTTTCTTTCAGTCTTGTGGAGTCGACAGCAGGTGCATCTACACCATCTGTTCCAGGCGCCGGGCATACAGACGTACTATGTCTGCAAGTCAGAAGCAAAATGGTATTTTAGCTCCTGTGCAATAGTATCTCCACCGCTGTATCTTGCAAGAAGTTTTCCATCATATTAAGTTTGGGCACATTCATTTTCCAGGTAATGTCAGGATGGGTCTTCTTTGTCACATATGAAGCACGCCTGACCTTGAGGCTGGTTCTACGCAGCTTGGTCTGGCATTCTACTGGCTTAGCACTTTCTGCTCTTCTTTTTCTGGCTCTCTGAAGTTTTGTGTTATTGAAAATAAGGCGACAACTATGGTGATAATTCACCTTGCTCCTCCTAAGAGTTTCTTCAATGCCACCACCATCAAGTCAGGCTGGATCCAGAACAATCGGCATCTCATTAATTGCGTGAAACAGAGGAATGTTAGTCGCGGTCATAGTGTAGCCTTCATGTTCTTGTGGTTGTTGAACACTTGGTGACTTGAGCTCTTCACGTATTTTTCTTCTTCTTCTGGCAAAGACAACACTTGCTCCAGTCAGTCCGGAATTTAGACCGTCCTGTATCTGTATTTGCCATCTTGGTGAATAGTTATCCGGGTATCACAATATAATAATTATCTGTATTTAGTGAATCAAGGCCGAGGGGTTTACCTTTTACCACCTTGATCACAAATCACGCACAATACGGTATGGGACACGACTAGGTTCGGGGATAAAAATATATGACCTATTACTTGCCCGATCGTTCATTCAGTATCGATCTGTCCCAAACGGTCTGTACACCATCCAGGTAACTACATTCAAAGCAATGTACAGCCCCGTTACCCTTGGCTCGGCTCTACCACACCCTGTCAGTTCAGGCGAGGCAATCTAACTAAACATCTATGTTAAACTACACTAGGTAACTGATGCGGGGCTAATTAGATAGCATTTAGGACACTAAACTAATTATTTAGCTATACTAAGCTTATTATTCAGCTGATACTGAACCCCATGCAGAGTTTCATAACAACGGTGCCACCAGTGTGCCCTGGTTGTGCGCTGACATCCGCTCAGTTGAGCTACTACTCTATACCATCCACTGCAAGTCTCTCAACGTCCAAATGTCTCAACACCCACCCGAAAACCACACATTTCGTGTCATGTCCAGTTTGGAAGCCTTGCACAGAAAGATGCTACACATACAAAACCTCAAATACAACTGCGATATAAATTACCATGCATTTTAGCAGAGTCAGACGTAACATGAACCTCTCATTTCGCAGAATATTAGGGTTTTGGGACTGGTAGATTGTACAAGGAAGCCAGTGAATGAGTTCAAGGTTCAAAATTCGTATTCTACATAGTCAGAAATGTATGATTTGAGGCCAAGAGCGTTCAAATAGGACAGGTCTCTGCGATTGTATTGCGAAAAACAATATTTTTTTTATATTCAATGGCGGCCATCTTGATTTTTTAGCTGGCTAGCGGGTTTTATCAAAAATGTAATCCCCAAAGAGTATGTGTGCCAGTTTTGGTGCTTGTTTCCGGAAGTGAACGATTCTCAGTTCAGTTATCTGCTCCAGTAGTATATATACCGTTATATATACCTTGTTCTACCACCGCAAATTACCCACCCTTGATTTTCATGTATTTTCTTATGAAAGCTGAACATCCACATGAGGGAATTGACAAGCGAGATAACTTGTAAATACCCTGAAACCAAATCTACATGGCGTTGAAGACATTATTTCAATAATCGTTTTCTTGCAAGCTCGATCATGACCAATGGGAATTGCTGCAATATTGCTGATACTGTCCAATCCACAAACACTTTCGCTGTGTCAGTCCTTTCTCATTCTTTTGGAGTATTTGATTGGACAAAACCGCCTTTTGACCGGTTTTGCCTGTTACACAAGCCCACCACCTTCATTCCTATTTTAATTGTTTTAATATACCAATTAATTCAGGATGTAGGGATTTTATTATTGTGGAGGCTCTTCATGATAGAATGATATCGTGTACTTTTGCACATGTTTATGGTGAAGCATGTCAATGCTAATTATGAAATAAAAAAATATTTCTATTTTTTAATCTACCTCTATAGATGCACTACAATAAAAACACATGGTGGGTTTGAAGAGTTAGTAACAGGTGCTCTTGAAAAGATTGATTTTCAAGTGAGATTTGAAACTTGTGGGAAAGTTTAATGTTGACTGGTAGAGAATTCCACAGACATTGAGCTGCAGGTCGGAAAGATCGCTTGCCGAATGAAGTTAAGCAGATCTTGGGGTCTGTTCACAGGAACTTATTCTGGGAATGAAGAGTTCTACCTGGGATGTATTCTGTGATTTCGAAAGATTGTGTAGACACTTATAGACAATGCAGAGGAGCTTACAGTCAATGTAGGGATTTGAAAACAGGAGTTATGTGATCTGACTTGGATTTTAAAGAAGCAATTCGAGCTGGTGTATTCTATTTTTGCAGAAATGGATTAATGAGGGGTGTTGAACTTGTGTGTAATTGAGGAATGCTGATTCATGTTGGGGAGGGAGAGAATTGGGTCCCTGAACAGAGCCTTATGGGACACCACAAGACAAGAATGCCTTCTTGGAGAGTTTTACTGCCACTAGCACTGCCTGACTTCTGTCAGTCAAATATGATGAGAACCATTATAATGCAGTACCACCGATTCCAACCAGTGTGTGTTCCACTGTGTCCAATCAAGACTGAGTGCAGGCTATTGTAGAGTTTGGATGCCATGTGCAATCGATAAACCGACGAGGCATCTCGGCCTCTGCTGCTAAGAAAGGGCGTTTATCCGTACGAGTACCTGGATGATCGAGATCTGACGAAACGCGATTACCTCCCATGGACCGCTTTTACAGTCACTTGACCAACTCGGTCATCATTGAGGATGATTACTCACATGCAACAAACGTGTGGGATAAAGTGGGCTGCAAGACTTTGGGCGACTACCACGATCTCTACTTGAAAACGGACGTGCAGCTGCTAGCCGACTTCTTTGAAACGTTCAGAAAAACCTACCTGAAACAATACAGCCTGGATCCTGCCTGGTACTGCAAGAGTCCCAGTCTCTCCTGCGACGCCTTGTTGAAAAAGACCGATGTGGAATTGGAACTGCTGACTAACTACGACATGCACCTGTTCGTCAAGAAAGGTTTCAGAGCCAGGATTTTCATATCCGCCAGGCGCTAGCCAAAGCCAACAACAAGCACGTGGACGGCTACGACTCGAGCAAATCCACCAAACACATACTCTACCTCGACGCCAACAACCTGTGGATTCGAGTGGTGCGACGTCAGCATGATCGGCGACATCGCGAGCATCCTCCAGATTCGAACGTCAGCTACATACTCGAAGTCTACTTGGACTATCCTACCTGCTGGCTCCCGAAAGGTTGACGTTGAACCGAGACTGGCTGTGCCCGACTACCAGCGACACTTGCTGGGCGAAAAAGGCAAACTGTCCGACATGCAAAAACTTGTGCCCAACTTGATGAACAAGAAGAAGTACATCGTGCACTTCAGAAACCTGCATTGGGAATGAAGCTGGCGAAAATACACAGAGCGCTACATTTCGATCAAAGGCAGTGAATGGAGCCATACATCCGAATGAACACGGATCTGCTAAAACTGGCCACCAGCGATTTCGAAAAAAATCTGTACAAACTCATGAACAACTCTGTTTTCGGCAAAACCATGGAAAATCTGCAAAGGCGAGTTGACGTGAAGCTGGTCCGAGCTCACAAGGAAGAAAAAATCAGGAAGCTGATAGCCAGCACGGCATTCAACCGAAGCATGATATACTCCGACGACTTGGCGTCGCTGCAAATGAACAAAAGCCACATCAAATTCAACCAGCCTGTTTACGTGGGGATGTGCATCCTGGACTTGTTAAAACACCTGATGTATGACTTTTTCTAGAACGAACTCAAAACGGAGTACAGCGACCGGTGCAAGGTGCTGTACACGGACACGGATTCGCTGCTGATGGAAACCCACACCAAGGACGTGTACGAGGACATGGCGAAACATGTGAAACTGTACAGCACGAGCGATTATCCCAAAGACCATCCACTGCACAGCCAAGTCAACAAAAAGGTGCTCAGAAAGATGAAGGACGAATGTGCAGGCACGCCAATCGCAGAATATGTAGGCCTGAGACCCAAAATGTATTCATCAAGAAAGCTGATGACGACAAAATCAGAAAGGCGAAAGGTGTGAAAAAATACGAGGTGAAAAAACACATCAGGCCCTGTTCTAGAAACGGACCTTCAAACACCAAATGAACATGCTGAGAAGTGAGAAGCACGCAATATATAGTCTGAGAATTAACAAGACGTCGAATTAACAAGTACGCCAAGACGAGAATTAACAAGTATGCCCTGACCATTGTGGATGTCACCAGTCACTACAAAGAGCCTGAACCGTTGATGACTAAAGACTCGTCCGAAGTCGCGAGTTCATGGGACGCGAGTTCATAGAAGCCGTATTGCAGCTGTTAGCCAAGCACAAAGTCGAAGTCAGCCGGGGTACAGTCAGGCGCATCAAAGCCAAGCCATAGACAAGAGATTTAATCGCGCCTTGGCTGAGCAGCTATTCCTCCACCAGTACTCCCAAGATTTGATCAATCCCGAAAAACAATCAACGTAATGGGTCGCACGTTTGCTCGTGTGGTGGCGGTCTTCGTATAATGTGCATGTTTCGCCACATACATGTTTGGAAAAGGAACAAGAAAAGATTGCTAGTTCAGTGTCTCGAAAATAGTTGCCACAGCAAGTACAAAACAAGATATCTGTTCCCCGTCACTGTATTCCTTCCGAATGAAAGTAATGGGTCTGCAAACCACCCAATGCCCAATACCAGCCTACCAAACGGATGTCATTTACAATTAGCGTTTTACTGTAATATACATGTACACATATTTCGCTTACTTTATCAATAGTCACATTTTAATTACCAATATGATAAACAGGCGTTTTGAAGTCATGTAATATAAGTGTCATTCACCTTAATCTTTTAATCACAATTTATAAGTCTAATTTTGTCATATATGCAATGACAATGTTAAAAGTGCAATCTATCTATCCGTGGTAAACATTCAGATGATTTCAGCATCCCCTCTGAAACCTCTGTGCTGAAGGTGTGAAGGACGTATGTTCGTTTCGTAAACATACCTAGATGCTTTTGTTATATGTCATTTTCATGTGTGTAAGTAACTCGTAAATACTAGACATTAGAAACATACAGTTTGGGTAATGTCTGTGTCGCTTTTCTCGTTGCTTACGAGGCAGAATCGTAAGGAATAGGTTCGCCACAATTGTCCTGGCTAGAAGTGCGGTCCTATTTATCTCTAATCTTCATCAGGTAATAAACCGACAAAATTATTTCCATAATCGAAATAGATATCTGCCTGACTGCGCACTTTTGAAATCTCAAGAATGAATCATGACACTCGGGGAAAGTCGAGGTGACCCAGCCCCACCGGTGGGACACACAAACAAATCCGAGGCGAAATGCAAGAAAAGTGCCTATCATGTAGAATCTCTCATCAACAGTAAACGTGTCAGCCAATAATTAGTAGGACATCTCCCACCCTCCTGAAAGTCTTGTCGCCTTGGAACTGGCCACAACAAACTGCTTGGCTCACACAGTCCACTTCTAAGATTTGAGGACGTAGGTTACAAGGATCAAGATTGAGATTAACAGTATTAACTGCATGAAAATGATGCAAATTATAAATTTCATGTTTTATAGTCGAGAAGAATTTTACTGTATATAAACAAAGAAAGGGGCAGGGTTCAAATCACAAACTTGAAAAGGTACATTGGGAAGTTATAAACGTTTGATATAGTGTAACTGAAATACTACTATAATAACGGTCAAGAGAGCAGATATATATACTGAACCACAAAAGAAACGTCACCTTTGAAAACCAAATGCAAGAGTTTGTTCTTACAAAGTGGTGTTTTTATAATGATTGTATCCTTTTGTTAACATGTTTTTCAATCCAAATTGACTGTTATTACCAACATCAGTGTGTTTTCTGATAAAAAAGCATACCGACCAAATGCACCTAAAAAGGCAGACGTGGTAAAAGGTTCCGTATGACATTCGTGAAAATGAAAATGCACGTGCATATCGTGAAAACCCTACCAATGAAAACGAGTCCCAAACTCTCCTGAAATCATTTTTGTTTTGACACAATCGCCATGGCACGACTTTAACAGATCAGAGGATCCAAGTCTTGGGACAATTGCAAGTTGGCCAGACTGCACGGAGGGTAGCCAATCATTTTAATTTTCATGTTAGGACAAGCTACCGACTGCAGGAGTGGTATCAGGTCACTAGCAGCATCCAAGACAGTCAGCGCAGTGGGCGACATTCAGTAACATTACAACGTCAAGACCGACAGATCTGCAGGATCGCTTCCCCAGAGCGACGGAAACAGCACACCAGACCATTGGGACTGACAACAGACCCATCAGTGTCGATACAATACGTCTGCGTTTGCGCAGAAGAAACCTCGTAGCCCTGTTGTCCTAGGCAAATATAGCTCACTGAGGCGCTGTGCTCACAAACTGTATGACTATTAATCCCCTTGTCTAATGGAGGTTGACCATCACTGGTGTTCCACATGGTCCAAAATGGAGCATTGATGAAAAATCTGGTGAAGCATAAAGCCCTATTGTCCTTGGCTTTTAACGAGCTCCAGATTTGTTCATTTTTATTACACAACTATAACTAAAGAATTTATATGTTTTACAGTTTTGGAAATCGTACGTTATTTTCGAGTATGACTTCTTTATTCAACAGTATAAATAATGCCAGAACGGAACAAAGGAACAATCCCACAGTGTCAAAGATTCGAAGGATTGGGAAAGCCAGTGTATTGGCCGCATGAAGTGTGCATTGCTCTATTAATATTATGTGACATAAGTATGACGAGTTATTCTTCAGTGATGGTATATGATGGCATGTGCAGTATTGCCCTAACAAAGGCGGTGATTTCACAATCAGTAGTGATCTGTTTTACCTGATATTGGTATGTCTGGATCTCTTCTGTATACAATTTCACGACCAGCTTCTGTCATTGTCCATCAAGAACTTTCATGGATTTTAAAATGAGATGGTTCATTATCCACACCTGCAAATTATGAAAGGCACCTTGTTAAATTCATATGACAAAACCATATCAAAGAAAATCAAAGATGTTAGTTATTTATAAAAATCGTCAGACCTGTGAGGTGATTTTGTATTTTAAGTGGGTGTCAACTTGCTTCATCTGTCTGAAACATGTTGTGTTTTCTGTCAATTCTCAGCCCTCAGGTCGGTCACTATGATTTCTCCATGGACGTAATGTGAGGTATGCATGTGAGGGGCGCTGTAGAATTCATGTACATTTCCGGGGGTAAATTATCTTGTTTAATCTAGTCACCTGCTTTGCCTAGCTTCCGAGTTACAACTTGTTTTCATAGACGATTCTTGTCATAACGGTAACCTGTTGGTTAGGTCTGGCTTTTGTTCCCCAAAACAATCGCTAGGCCTTATTTGTTTGAGCTAGACGCTAGTGAAAGTGAAAACAATTATCAGCCACGCTCATCACGGTTACAGGAAGAAGATCAACTAGAATCTACTTACTGGTGAGTGGACGTTAACCACGTGAATGTAGCAAGAAATGTATCGCGCAATATTGTCACTTCGACCCCCACCTGGCTCTTTGGAAGAAATCGTTATGTTACAATTTGTGCCATGCAAAATCCTTTTGGTCAAACTTTAAAGATTGTTTTCACCCAGTTACAAAATCAAAACTACTTTCTACTGGTAATAAAATATGTATTAGTAGTTACATAGTGGGGGTTCTAGACCCGAAAGGCAAGGGCGTTAAGTAAAGTCCCACCAAGAATCATACCAATCGTTGCCATTTATATTTGATAGTTTCTTACTTTAATATGTTTTCTGGAATGATCCCTTGCTTAATGAGCATATCTTTGGTGGCCATCGCCAGTCCCAAATATAGGACAAGCATGCCCATGTCATACGCATTGAAATCGAGGTTTGGGAATTTGTTGTTGCGTCATCATTTTACTTAAATGCACGTAGCTGATGGCTAGACCGCTGACCCGGCGCTTTTATGATGCAGTTGATCGATGTGAGGGTTGACAAATGTTTTTCCGTTGGTGGTAGACATAATTATAACATAACGTGTCCGTTTACCTCTAATTGTTTTGTTAATGGTTGGACTGCTGGTGGTGGTGTCATCTTTTTGTTTTGTTAATACAACCATACAGCTGCGATGATACCCACGAAAGTGACTGCCACGGCGTACAGTGGGGTATGAATAGGTTTATGATGCCTAGCTAACCCCTTTTTTACCGGCAGCTACTTGTTTTTGGATTCCTGGGTTTCGGATTCGTGACCATGGTGACGGGAGCTAAGAATACACCATATCAGTAATACAACTCACAACTGAGGATGTTCAAGGCATGACCGATAAACAGATCCGTGTCGATTGGCACAAATAAAGTCAACGTTCGGGTGGAATGGGAAGCAGAGACAAAGCTATAATGGTGTAGAATTGCATTATAATCGACCCTATGGTTTTCATCATTTCAGCACCGAATCGGGCTTCGTATATATGGTAATGTTTTCACCCAAGTATTGTTTCCGCTTCCCATCCATGACGAGGACTACGAGTCACGGGCCGCGTTTATTCTCGCATCGGGAGGGCATATCTTCACCCTCCTCGTCCTCGGATATCATTTGTTCGAGCATGTCGTCCAACTCCATCTTATATACATTAATCAGGTTTTAAATCTAATATAATAAATCCGGCATTAGCCAAACAGAACGAGATGAATTTTAGGTAACCAACACAAGATTTCAAACGTCGTCATGTTTTTTATATAAAGGTTATACATTTAATTTGCTAAGCAAGCTGCTTGATTTTGCTAAGCAGTTTGCTAAGTTTTGCTAGAATTTTGCTAAGTGTTGCTTAGCTAGCACACGGTATAAGCCATGGGTTGGTCTGTTTTCAGCATGAGTTTGGCGTGTTTCGTTTCAGATAACAATGTTCTCACGCTTTCTCGCTTGGGTTTGGTGGGAATCATGTCGTTTTGTCTTAAACATTCCTGGAACAAATCCCTATCCTTGCAGCGAAATAAGGCAACCATTGCGTCTGTTCCCCAGAGGTCTTTGTGGAGTGAGTTGAATTTTTGTGTCAGCACCCAAACGCTGTGTTTCATATGGCGTCCCGAAAACGCTAAATACGATAATATATCTCTCTTTTTGGTGATCTCTTTATTCACGCTGCAATCGTCTAGGATAAACATCATCGATTCTCCCTCAAACTTCTTGTGTAAGGCTTGCAACCAGTCCTGTAAACATACTCCCGGGTCGATTTTATACACCTCCTCGTGTTTCATCACCCACGCTCTCTCCGTGTACGTTTTATTAACGCGTATAGTAGGGCAAAGAATCACGATATGATCGAACACCTCCCGATAATACCCTTCCAGCATATCCAATACAAAAACGGTCTTCCCATACCCCGTCTGACCGCACACACGATGTCGCAATGCAGCTCCAGGGACAGCTCAATATCGAACATGTACAGTGAGTTGTGCATCCATAATCTCGTACAAATATAGGTATAATTTACCAGCGTTTTGAGCCTTCTTGGTGATTTGGATCGTAACCCCCTAATCGCGTCAAAGAGTTGATTGGGCATGCCCTCGACGGTCACTTCCACTTTTGTGATCTCAGGGTTCCAATATTTTTCGTTAATTCTTAGAAACGTCGAAAATTCTTCCAACGGAATGATCAAAATGCCCTTCATCGATCGAGTGGGTACGTTCAGATTGATATTCCACAATGTATCGGTTTTATTAAGATGGCTAACGATCCCGAATACTGGTTGCGTTACCTTGTTGAACTCCAACGAATTATTGTCGCTGGTATAGCTGCTGGGATCGCCTCTCTCCTTAAATCTTATGTGGTTTAAATCGTTAAACATCAGTTCGTATTCTTGTCTATCAACCAGCGCGGCTTGGTAAAACAGCATGTGACCCTCCAGTAGTTTCAAGTCGAGTGGAATGCAAAATAGGTTCCCGAATGCTTCGGCTATAGCCTTATGTCTCCTTGACATAGCGGCGAGATGGGCTTGTTCAAAAGGATACCCCACATGCAAACGAGTCAACGGACGATTGGCTGGACAAATGCCTTGGTTTTTCATGTTTTCCCGATCGCTCGCGGTTCTCCAGAGGTCCGTGTAACTGAAAAATACATCACTGTCATCGATGCATAGGATTTTGTTCCCGCTTATTTATATGGTCATTTTTTTCACAATGGCGCGACCCAAGTTCGCCACGATTCTCTTTTATCATCCTCGGAATCGAAACTGATATGAAAAGACAGGTGATCCGTCCCGTTGACGATGACGTTGTTCACGCCCAGGTTGGGAAAGCATAACAACAGCGTTTGGTTTTCATCGATTGTGCTCGGATTGTTGGTGATCGTCACAGATTGATGAATGGCTTTGACCCCCAGGGGTTCCCTCAATCGTCAGAAAGGGTTTAATTTTTGTCCGTATGCTGACGACATAGTTTATATTGAAAATATGTTTTTATAGCTTTAATATAACAGAACTGTGGCTGAAGGTGGTGAAAATATTCCAATTGCTCGATGATGGTGATGAGGACACCTCGTTTACTGTTAAATACGGCCGTGAATGACTATTAACATACCCTAGGGAAATTTAGCTCCTCTTTATCGCAAGTATTCTTGTTCGAAATCGATGATTGAGGGATACTGTGACTGAAAGAGGCTCCGGACCTCGATCTTATGCATTCACCTATGAGAAAACATCTCGCCTTGTCTACGCTGGCCAGTCGCCACGGTACCCACTTTATCCATGACAAATCAAATATAGTCAGCTATCGACAAAATATTTTCGTGAAGACCCCTTAGGCTTTACAAAATGTGCGGACCAAGCTGGGTGCCACGGTGAGTGTGATCGATCGAAACGATTATTTGAGAGACATGCCGCAATGCACTCAAGAAGGTTCCAACGGGCTCGACAATCTATTGACCACCTTAAACGATACCGCATTAGAAACACCTGTAATTTACCGTTCGGGAACTGCGAGGGCTAGACAAGGCCTTGCGAACCAATCGTGGATCGCTCGTGGACAACATGGCCAACTGAAAGAACTTGACGATCGTATCACTCAAACAAGCGGATGACGATGACGAGATCACACGACGTCGGATCGAGGAAAGGCTACATAACTTGCAAGACGAATGATCGACCTGATTGGAACGGGCATCGTACAACAGAGAAGCGCTTCAATCCCAAATCGGCCCCAAACGCAAAACTATCGAACGAGTCCTCCATGAAGACACCATGTTAGCCGGAAGGCTAAGAACGTTATTCAGATAACGAGGGATCACCATCGCTAGCGCATTGACTGCACTCGAGTTTATCCTATCGACTTTAGTCATCTCTCCGATTGGTGGAACGAAGGCACCGAAGGCACCGAGTCCCTAGTGGCAAGAAAGGGGTTAAACAATGGATACAAAAACCATATAAATCGCTCGGTGAAGCCCTGGCGAGACTGGTCGGCAAAGCCGCTGAAGCGCTGCGTGGTATCTTGGGCAGCATCGTTTCCTTGCTGTTAGGATTCTTATCGAAAATGGTCACGTGGTTCAGTCAAAACCTGTGGGCGTTTGCCGTCGCCATGGTCGGTCTGGTGTAAGTCACCGCTACAGAATTTTTAATCCTATAAGGCACAACCCGAAAGCGATTCCACCGACCACGAGCGCGGTTTTACGATCGATGTGTTGCTGGTTTTCGACCACCGTGCTTGCCGATAGGTGTGGTTTGGGTTGATTGCTGGGCACCGGGGATGGTGGCGGCGTTACTATCCCCGTTTCACCGGTTCTCGTGGGTGGTGTGACGTTTCAGAGGTTGGTATCGGGGTTGACACCAAACTTTTGATTGCTAGTCACTATGACGATTTCGTTGTTGTAGCCCAACACTTTATGGATCCTCAGTTGCATGTCTCTCGGAGCCATGTACAACCCTACACCAAACACATAGTCGACTTAAGACGGGGCAGCGTGTCTTGGTAACGCTTAGTAGCCGTC